AGAACAGAAGAACGGACAACCGAACACAATTACCGAGCTCCGGGGGGTAACACCGTTAAGACTGTTTCTCGAAACATCAAGAATATCAAGCTTATGCAGCTGTCCAAGCTCACTAGGAATAACACCATCCAACGTGTTGGAAAACAACAACAGAGTGCGAAACTGTCGACAATTCCCCAAACTACCAGGAATCCTCCCAACTAGGAAATTCCCAGACAGATCAAGATGCTGTAGATACCGACAATTACTTCCGAATCGAGCAAGAATCGACCCGTTTAGCCGATTATTCGACAAATGAAGCCCTTTGGTATAGACCCCTCTAGCTTATTCCCAGCTAAAACTTCCAAGTCCACAAATTTTGACAGAGACCCGGGAATCTCCCCTTCGAGTTCATTAAACCCGAGATTCAAAACCTTCAAATGTCTCAACCCCACAAATTCATGAAGCAACTTCCCAGTAAATGAATTCCCTTCAAGATCAGGTAGTTCTAATGTCTCCAAACCCCAGATTTGTAAAGGAATTTCACCACCAAGCTCGTTAAAAGCAAGAGATAAAACATAAGATCAGTAAGTTCACCAATCAAAGGTGACAAGTTCTAACCTCAACCGCCTTTCTGTTTTCAACAAGTATTTGAAATTCGTATGCAATTTCTGGTTTTATTTTGTATATTGTAACTAATTTCACCATATCTGCGTTTCCCTCCATCTTTTATCAATTTATTCATTACTTTTCTAATTCTCAATTTCATCCTTCCACTTTAAAAAATTGAAAAGATAGTCCTTCCATAGTTCCATTTTGTGGACGGTGAGCACTGGAGTTTCGGAAGATCCAAAGAATAACCCGAGTCTATTCCCATCAATGAATCATAAACACAAGAGGTGAACGTGGGTGCATTTTGCGGCAACCCTATCCCATTCACCCCTTTGCAAAAATACAAACAGCTACAAACACGAGAACCGGATCCGGTGTCGCACAAATCCTCACTTTGATCAAACACGGAATACGTCGAAGAGAAACTGAGCAGGACATTGGGACCTGTTAGAGTGAACGGAATACATCGAAGAGAAAATGAGTAGGAAATTGGGACCTGTTAGAGTGAACAGGCTCGTCCAATCCAAGCTAAAGCTTCTGGAATTCTGCATTGAAGAGCAAGTTGACATGAGAGGGTCTGCAACTGGACGGGTAGTCGATGGAAGAAACAGTGCAAATGCTGTTGCCTGTTGAGAATTACGTTTTACCTATCTAGCAAAATACGGGGAAAATAAATTTTATTTTTTCATTGCATTTTCAAACTGATTACACTGAGTCAGGGCTTCCAAATTCTCTGGCAGTATAGAGCAAAGAATCAGTCTGTCATATCCTAAAAGATGGAAATGTAATTCACTGATTCACCTAATGACCAATGGTATAGAATAAACGTATCGAAGATCATGAAATGTATCCTCCCAAATGAGGCTTCCAGTTTCTAGACATCTCCGTATTTCAAGTGAGTGTCGGGTTTCCAGGACATCTACATATTTCGAGTGAACATGTTAGCAAAAAGTTCATGGTGTTGATGCCTTGAGACAAGTGAAATTCCGTCAGCTTTGATGTTTCTCTCGGTTTCAGAAGTACTGCCGATATTCATGCATTCAAACCAGCCCAGTTCTTGAAAGCAATGAGTGCCTCCATCTTCCTGAAGCTCCTCCTCCTCAACTTTGACACTTTAAGCTTCTTATGCTTCTCCATGAATGCTTGCTTGTACCTCCACTTATCCACGAAAATTTTCATCTCTTGAGACTTCTCCACGACTTGCATCACTGCATCGAAGAAACCTCCTTTAACGAGAGCATATAAGAACGCATCAAACAAGTTGTGATCGAACTTGATGCCTTTCCCATTGTCACCCGAAATTTTCCATTTAATCTCGTTCCATAGCATCAAAACACTGAAATATTTCTCTGCAGTCACATAACCATTAATCAGGGACAAATATGTTTGATCATTTGGCTCAAACTGCAGGAAAGTCATCCTTCTGAAAGTCCTCCTAGCATCTTCCAACCGCCCGGCTTTACAGAAAGCATGAATAATTGAGTTCCAGTCGTGAGTTTTTATTTCAATGCGTGGGTCTTCAACAACTTCATCTAGGAATGCGGCCATCAACTCTGGTCTTTGATTCTCCATCAGACCCGTCATTATAGTAAGACAACTCCCTTTCAAGTCATGTATTCTTGCATCTCTCATATCCCTAAACAATGTAAAAGCAGATGGAAAATCCTGACTCGTCATCGATGCTTCTATTAGCATGTCATACATTCCCGTGTCCATCTGAAGCCCTGAAGTACTAATATCCATAACTAATTGAGTTGCTTCGGCAGTTCTAAGATCCTTGCTATAAGCCTTTAAGATAGGCACCTACACTCCAAGCCCCACGGAACCACCCTGAGCATTCATTTCATCGAGTACGCTATGTGCCTTATCTGATAAACCGAGATTAATACAAGCGCTAATGATGCCATATCCGATAGACTTGTCAACCTCAAGCACATGAGACTCCAACTTTTGAGCTTCAATGATCAAAGTAGCTAAACTCTTCATAACTCCATTCTGAATATACCCTTTAACCACTTGACAAAAAGTTTCATCATTGAAATTCAAATCTTTCCCATTACCTTCCCTCAAACTACGCATAATCGTAGCTGAAACAAATACTATGTTGCCCGACTTAACATACCCACCAATCAAGCTATTGTAAAGCACTTGTTTATCTGAAAAACCAAATTCGGGCATCAGATTTTCTAGCTCATCTATCTTCTTTTCAAGCCCTTTCAATGCAAACAAATAAGAAAGGAAACCAAAACTATTCTCATCTGACCGAACACCTAAGAAAGACATAGTTGCCACTACTTTTTCAGCATCCGAGACCGATTCGAGTTCATAGCAGCAACATTCTAGAGCAGCATTACAAGCAGCCAAATCAGGTTTCAAACAACTCAGCCTTTCATCAATTGCAATCCTACAACATTCCTCAAAAACCCTCAAAAAAGCAACAAGACTGCCACTTTTCCAACTAACATCAATAAGCATATTACCCCACAAGCCAAAAGGAACAAAATACCTGTTCTTGAACATGCATTTTACAAGAGCAAAAGCAGGGGCGGCGGTGTTGGCTACACTCATGGAACTCAAAAGGGTGGTCACGGTTTCGAAAGACAGCAACTTTGGGTCCTTTACGATCACGAAAACCACAGAGGCAAATGCCCTTTTCAGATTCTGGGTGTCTTTCAATGAAGATAAGTGGGTGATAAGGGAGTTTGTGAGGGGCTTACTGGGAAAACTGCAGCAAGCGGTGAGGGTCTTAAACGATTTCCAGGCTTCATCGGTGTTTTGGGTGACAAGGGATTTCTCAAGGGCGGTTTCTAGAGTGGTTTTTTGGTCTTGAGTTAGGGTTTTGGTTTGAGAATTTGTAGAGTCCTGGGGTTGTTTGATTGCTCGTTTGGTCTTAAGGCGAAAATTGAAGGTTGAAGGAAAGAGTAAAGCGTGGGGATTTCAGCTGAGGGCGACGAAGAGAAAGGTCTGAAAGGGGTTGAAGACAGTGCTTTTCTCCACATCTCAGCGTACAAACTGCAAAGATTGTGTCGCTCTCGTTCTATTGTTGATGATACATGAACTGATAATTGTAATGGCACTGTTTTGTTAACTATACGAATATTTACATTTTAAATCAACATATCCGGCCAAGTTGAAATAGCTCACTTGGTTAAGAGAGAATCGCTGTTAACCACAAGGTGGAAGGTTCAAGCCCTCCTAGCGTTTGATTTTGAGATGCTCAGCAACTGTTGCCGTTGAAACATTTCAGGCAGGAACTGTTTTTGCTTATCGTAGGACTTCATGAGTTCCCACGATAACTTGATCTCGATGCATCGAGATTACAGTTGCAGGTCGTATATGGCCAGTTTTACTTTGAAAACCGTTCTCTACATTCGGATAGTCCGTCATGGATGGATAAGCATTATGAAAATTTTGCACATAAAGTATGTCATCCAAGCATATCCGTTAGTTGGGATTATGCAATACACCACGTACTGCATATTGGTTTCAATTTCGATGCATCTACCGACGGTATGAGGTTAAAAGTGTTCCATTGATCGTTCGTTGCCTAGTTGAATGATGGTGAGGAGAGGGAGAAGAAAACTCCGGTGAAGAAAGAGGTCTGTCCGATGAAAGTGCTCTTTCCGAAATGTATACGTCTATTGGGGATTGAAGACACTGCTTTTCTCCACATTTCTGCGTAAAAATCGACTGTTATTGTTAATTGTGCATATGTTAGTATATACAGGCTTGCTTGAATAGTTCACTCGGTTAGGGCGTGTGGCCGTTAGGACTGTGCTCATATTTGAAGACATCAGTATCGGTGTTTTGTTCGGTTTAGGCTCTGTGCAGGGTAAAAGAAACATTGATGGGTAGTTCAGTAGTACTTAAACTGGTAATCCTTGCTAATCTGTAGTTTCGTTTTGTTCTGGTTTACACTTTACATTTGTAGGGGTTTACAACATGCATTAGAACAATGCTTTCTACCCAAGTAATGGTCAAGTTCTGCTCAATATTCGACTTCTCCCGAACCGTGCATCGAACCTAGAGTCTATGCTCATGATTTCTGAATCGATATCTGCCAATGCTCCCTCGAAACTGATTCGGGAATGTTTGACCAACGACAATGCCAAGAGTCGTCATGTAAAGTGTAGCTTTAGAGTATGTATCAGTTTCAAACATGTTTGCAGGAAGGAACACAAGAGACAATGACAACAGGATCAGCACAACGTACGGAAACCGCCACAAACAATGTTCCATATGTATGGCAAGTTTGGTCGACGTATCGACTAACATCTTGAAAAAGACATTACTACAGCTTATTCGGGTCCGAAAGGAACATTTCACCTCTTAAGTAAATACAATTATTCATGTGGAAGGCACACTGGCACTGTGAGTCATTGGATGAAAAAGCTAACTAGGTTTAAGAATTGTTAAAACACATGCCATTGAGGGAATGTTGGAGTAAAATTACAGACAAATATAAGTACAAGGCATCATGTTTCGGAAATCAAGTTGTCGACGAAGAATGCAGTCCCCTGATGTATGTTTTTTACTTCAATCTAAGTGTGCAGTTTTCTAAAGCTGTATTTTTATTTCCTATGACCAGATGATCCCATAAGTACTCCAACAGCTGCAACGAACATGAACAACATGCAGAACAACAATATATACGTTCTTCGTGACGATCTTCGATACTCTCCGAATAAAATCACTCCCCAAAATGTGCTTACAAGAGGAAGTGCCTGAACAGCATCTGCTGCTGCATAGCCTGCAGCTTGGCCTCCCATGAACTGGAGACCATTCCCGAACCCGCACAGAAACCCGGCCAAGAAAGCCCACCATCGGCCATTCCAGTCATTTAGATAGGCCTTAAACGACGATTTGGGGACTCCAAGAGCTGGATGGTAAAGGAAGCTGATGTTTAGGATGAGAGCAATTACGAAACATGAGACCGAGAAGTAGAAGAATGCCGAATAGACAGCCAACTTGGGAACCCCATCTTTCAAAGTGCGCCATTGATCGTTTGTCGCCAAGTTGAATGCCGGTGAGAAGAGGGAGAAGCAAACCCCAGCAAAGAAAGTTAAGGTCAGTCCGATGAACATGCTCTTTCCGAACACCTGCAAACGAAAAAGGAATTAAATCAAGTCATACATAAGCTTCATCTATTAAAAGACCAAATGAAATATGGTTAAAACTTCCCAACCTTGATCGACCTCCTTTTCTCAAGCTCGATCAGGAAGGTTGCTGTTCCGGCCTTTGCTTTGCCTACCGGACCATCCCCTTTCTCTTGATCCTTTGAAATCACTGCTTCGGGTGCAGATGAAAGCACAGTCCTGCAAAACAGGAAAACGGAAACGAATCGAATCGAATTAACGGAATCATATCAGAATTTCTAATGTACATATGAAGGAAAGAGAGCATACCCTTTTTCGGATTTGTTATCAATTGGAAACCTGCTAAGCTTCGCTTTGTTATCAGCTACATTAGATGAATGAACAGCCGATGCAAGACAAACGGCAACAAGGAAGCAACCGACACCAGGGAAAAGGATCTCAGCTTTGTTTATTTTATCATCTAAGAAGTAATTCATGGTTGTTCCTGTTAGTAAAACCAAAATGAATCAGAAAAAGTTCAATTCTACATGGAGATTTAAGATCAAATCAATTTCTTTCTCTATATGTAACCTATAACGACAGTCATGCTCGACGAAATCACTTCAACAACAGATAACCCAACGAAAGCCCAAGCATATTGTGTGGAAAGGTTCCCCAGGCTGAGGACCACCCCACCGGCCATTGCGAACAAGACCGATGACCAATTGTCCTGCACCGAATTCCCATGAAATTCTAGTGGCACAAAGGGTTCAAAGCTAAATAAAAAATCGAAAGCTACGGAGGAAACTCAACTCACCTGAGAAAGCTGAGTGAAGAAATTAGGTCTGTCCACTGTACTGTCCCCTATTTGACCAAACGTTAAAGCAATAACAACAGCAGCCAAGAGATTTGTGATTGTATAATCAAGGTAAGTGTGTTGAGGGAGGCGTCCTCGCCTCTCGAGCAGAGTGATAATTGCAGGCCATGTGCCCAAGAAGAAAAGAGCTAAAAGCATGCATGCTATGGCGCCTCCTTTGCTCTCCACTACGTACATGATGACGATCTTCGATGAGCAATCTCTGGTTCTGGTATGATCCTGAAACGGCTAAAACCATGAAAACATGTTGGGTTTAAAAGCATTATCTTCTCCCCAAGCTCAACAATGGGTCTGTGAAAGAGAATCTTTAAAGAAAAGGGTCTCTTTTAAACCTGCCTTGAATTCTGGATCTGCAACAAAATAATAGAATATTGCAAGTGGTTGCTCCGAAGTCAGTATAATTTGACAGCTTCTGCATAAAAAAGAAAAAACTTAGCTTTCTATAGCAGATTCATTTGACCGCTACTAGTGTTTGATATTTTCACGTTTCTTCAGTCTTTTCACCACCGAGTGTGGAAGAGTACTGAAATTGGATACTGTATTGACGAATAACATTTAAGTTATCTTTTGCAGAATCAAGAAGATTAGATTAGGGCATCTTTTCCGCACCCATATATATATATATGTATATATTTGATCAACCGATATTTTTTTCTGTTTGTGGCCATATCATCTTCCATAATTGGTGGATCCATGATGGCGGCCTGAATGATGTATGACTCCAAAGTCAAACATGAGATACAGCTGGTTATTTAATGTTAAAGTAGACCTTTAACCGATAATCAGATGAAGACGAAGCGTTATTATCTTTAGAAGATGACACACTACGTAATTATCTGTAATCGAAGGTACTGTTGAATTAAAAATTGCAGGAACAAATGCTTCTATTTTACCCTTTGAAACTAGAATATTTTCTGACGGCCCCAAATAAAGGGTAAACTATACTAATGGTCATCTAATTATTGTTCTTTTCTATTTTGATCATCCTTTTTAAAATTTTATCAACCAAATCATTCAACTATTTAAGTACATTCAATTAAATCATTCAACTATTAAATACATTCAATCAAGTCACTTGTCATGAATATATTATTGTGATAATTAATAAAATTGATAAAATTTTGTGATAATTAATAAGATTACTTATTTATTCATTCTTATTTATATATTTTATCTATTTGATTCTAATTTTAATAAATTAAAATAAATTTAAACCTCAAATCAAAAAAACTAATTTTAATATTATTAAGCTTAAATCAAAAATACTAATTTTAATATTATTAAGCTTAACTCGATTTAAGACCTTGAAAATTAAACTTGATTCAAAATACATTAACTTAGAATTATTAAATTTGACTCGATTTAAAATTTTAATGCTCACATTCCTAACCCAACATGACTATCCCTACTTTTAGGGTACCAAATTAAATATGCTATAAATACGTAAAATCATAACATTAATGCATCATATTCAAATTTTTACAAAATTGGAAGGACACAAAAATGAGTTTTCCATTTTCATAATTTTGAATTTTTTTCTGCATTGTGCAATCAGATCTCCACACAACAGCCTGACAGGACTAACCCAGAGAACTCATCAGGCACGTTGAGTTTCTTCAATTTACCAGTTTGCCCTCCTTTGATTTCCACCATGTAAAACCCGTGCGGTCCACCTTGATATTCCGACCCGGTAACCAAGACCCGATCCCCGAGCGTAATCCCGCGGGCTCCGACTCGAACGACAGGGTCCAACCCCGCCCAGTCTATCAATTTCCCGTCTTTTCCAATCCTAACACTCGATCTCGGGCACCGACCCGGTTCTCGGGCACCGACCCGGTTCCCAAGCCCCTTCGGCCACCCTCCATTGACCCGAATTGAACACGTAAACGTCGGCACTCCCGTCGAACTGACCTTGACTCTCCGTTCCGTACCCGCTCACAACCCAGAACTCGTGTTCCCTGATCACTACGCCCTCACACTCATCTCGCTCTCTACTCAGCTCACCCAGCCTAGTCCACTCGTCGTTTCTCAAATCGTAAACCCAAGCCGTTCTCAACGCCTTGTTCTCGTCATGCCCGCCCGCAATATAGACACGATCGGAACATACTCCCATTGCAAAGAACGACCTCTTCGACGGCATATCCTTCCCTTGTCTCCATTGCTGAGCCGTGAAATCGTAGATAAGAACGTCGGTAACCGGGTCGTAGCTCACTGGGTTCCACCCGCCCACCACCACAAGCTTCCCCTCACAGCTTGCTAATTGACAAAACAAAGGCAACCCGTTCGGGTCCTTGGGAACAGGGGGAAGTTTGTACCAACACCTATTCACCGATTCAAACACGGCAACCCCATAACTCGGTAACTCACCCTGTATTTTAGGTCCGTTCACGATTCCACCGCTAATGGCTTGAACTAAGCTAGCGACTTTCTGGTTGTACCCTAATTTTTTGCGGTGATAGTAAAAATCTTGGCTATGGAGCAAATCCCTCCATTGGTGACAGACTCGGGAGGCAAGTCTATGAGCTGTGTGAGGTAGCCGAGTTAAGCACTCAAGCCCGAGTTCATCGGGTAAACCCGGTATCAACTCGGTTGAAAAATCAAAACTTTGCATTTCTCAAGTTTCTAGAAGCTTTGTTCTCTGCCAAAGGCCATGGAAGCATTGGAAACCAATCCGTCATCCACATCTTATTTATAACAGACGGTCGGATAACGGCCAAACACCGCAGCCCTTGCTTGATGTCACGTGTACGCTGCACGGGATTTTTGTACAACTTAATCTGATCTTTTGATAACTGGTTACGATAAAGCGGATAGGTATCAACGAGGACCTACACGTGGCTCCAGCTGATTATTGCTTAGGCTCGGCATACCCATCGCTGGCTTCCTCTTCTGATTGATCTGACCAACTTGATTTTGACACGTGGTGGTAATGGATAAACGTCTCTCGTGCGTGCTTTCGAGTCTCCAAGCTTATTCAAAACGAATTTATTCTTTTAAGTCGCTTTTCATATTAATATCTTAAAAGTATTATAAATTCCAAGTTCAAAAACAATTTTTACTCTATCGAACAGTTGGAGGTTGTTCGGATGATGTGGCTGGACAGCAGGTGGATGGAGAAGGGGATAGTCAAGTATTGTTTTTACTAAAATTACCTTAGACAAATGTTATAAATGACAAAATTAATATATGATGGGCAAGCCACGCTGTGGAAATTTTCTGTATGGCAAATACATGCCCAATTGACAATTTGCTTCTCTTTCAGATTTTTTTTTATTATGCTAAGATGATTATAAAGTAGTATTAATTTTAAATACTCTCAATTATTTGGCAATGAACGCTCAATCACTCTGCTACAACCATTAGTGCTCGAATCCATGCCCCTAGAAACAACAACGATTTCTTTAACCAACAGATAATTTGATTCGTTCACTTTGATAACATGACATCTTAAATGTGGAAAATATGAATAAAAAAAATTGATACGTTTAATAATTATAACATTACATCTTAAATAAATTAATAGATTTATTTAATAAAATTTTGATTCAAGATTAAAATTTGAATATTTAAAAATTATTCAAATATAATTTAAGGATAATTTAACACAAATCAAACAACTTTAAACATTAAAAGGATGATAATTATATTTAAAGATCTTATATTTCAACACAACGTTTGTAGACATATTTAAAGATGGATCGAGGGGGTGCTAGGGTTGCGGTCGCACCTCCTAGAATTTTCAAATTCTCTTATATTTTAATTTTTTTATATTTTCTATTGATTATCTAATTTCGCACCCCTAAAATTTTATAACTCCGCACCCCCTAACTTTTTTTAATATAATTTCTTAAGTTTACACCCATGACATAATTTTTTACGTCCGTCCCAGGACATATTTAAACATTAATGATCAAATCTCACCATTGTCATACAAAAATATTAAAATTAAATTCCTAAATTGAATATATGAATTATATTCAAGTCTGGCTAGCACACCTAATGACAAATACAGCTTCAACTATTTCCCCCCTTTTCTAGAATCTTAGAAGAAAATTATTTGGGAAAATATACAGTCGGGTACTTGATTTTAATTTTACCGTTCAATATGATACTTTTTTTTAATCAAATCAAGTGTATGAACTTCGATTAAATGTGTTTTATTTTTCACTACTGATGTATTTGTTTAATTTTTTTTAAATAGTGAAATTTGATGTATAATAAAAATTAACAAATATCGATAGTCTTATTTGATGGATGATCAGTAAACATCATAAGGGGTGGAGGTAAAATCCTATTTAGGGCATTAAAATTAAATTATTATTTTGAATCATAAATTGAAATAAAATGGTATTTTTTATATTTTGTAACGATAATAGTAAATAATATACAAATTTTAATCTTTTCAATAATAATAAAAAATCCTATAGTTTGCATTGAGTCAAGATTTTTTTTAATATTTTTCTTTTCATTTATGATGAATTTGTCTGATATTTTAATTATATTCGCAAAAGTCAGCATTTGCAATAATTTGCTTTGGAGGATTCAGAATTCCGTAAGATTTGCAAGTTTATCCTTTGCTGGAAAAAGGCAAAAGGAAAAAGGAAAAATTGGTCCCAAAAGCTCCAATTTGCTCTGTAATGCAATTGGGCCACTGTCCCCGTTTACTTTTCAAACTTAGGGACCAATAATGATCTTCTAGAAACATTTTATTTTAATATATTAATAAGTCCTCTTACTAGTAAAATCAATTTAGTCATCTCTAACTTCTTTTTATTAAATCAAAGTAAGTACAAAATAATATATTTTTAAATATAATTCTCAGTTATTTATGTAATTATTTATACATGCATTGCATTTTATCTATATTTTTAATTTTTTGACTGCCGGAGATCTTCCACGGAAGCTATTCTCAACCTGGCGTTGGGGGCAGCCTACTACCTTACCTCCCCCTTACCCCATACATATGGGAATTGAGTTTTGTTGTTGTTGTCTCAGTTATTTGAAATTGAATGTTTATATTCTTAATTTTTTACGGTTAATATCATCATTTGATTTCTCCTCATCGAACGAACTTAAAAAGATGTAGATTTTTTTAATTGTATGGTAACTATAACAGTGACCACTAAATTATAGCCATTTTTCATTTTGACTATCAATTTTGAATTTTTGTCCATCGGGTCACCTAACTATTTAAAAATGCATTCAATCAAGACAATTGTCGTTAACGGTTAACGGAAGTGATGAAGTGACATTTAATAAAATTGGTATAATAGGATGTTGCCATGGGTCACCA